GCGTAGGCGCGGCCTGCGACGAGAACGTCGTCCCGCGCCGACAGCAGCGCTCGCCGCATGCCGCGCAGCAGCTCGCCAACAACCAGCGCTGTGCCCTCCCACGCACCGCTGTCATCCTCGTCGACATGTCTGTCGAGGCTGCTGCTTCTGCCGCTGCTGCATCTGTCTTGTTGCTGCCGCTGTCGCGAGGTCAGAGCTGTACGCAGAAGGCGCTCAAGCTCCTCTCCGCTTGGCTTGCACGATATGAACCCCACATGTGACCGCTGCTTCTCTTTCGGCTGCTGCTGCTGCTGCGAACGGTCCTTCTTCGCGGACCCATCCAGTAGGAAGGCGTCTGCGCCCCCACTGGCGACGAGTGGGTCGTGCTGACTATTATGCTTCTGTTCTTCCCTCACAACGTCGATGAGCTCCTCGCATTCGCGGCTCATCTCGTCGCACCTGTCGGCGCATGCCATCGCCGCCTCCGTCAGCTGTGACCACATTCCTTTGGCGGCCTGTCGCTTGCGCACGGCCTCCTTTGCCCCTGCTGCTGCCTCCGCCCGGGCGCTAAGCTGGGCGCGGAGCTGCTCAATCTCCAGCTGCCGCGCGACTGCCTCGTCGGATAGTGTCTGTATGTACGTGTCCGCCTTGGCAAGCTTGTCCACGACAATCGACAGCTCACTCGTCGTCTCCGCCTCTCGGCGTTGGCTTGCCTCCACTTCCTGCTGTAGCTGCTGCTGCGTGGCGTGAGCGGTGGTGATTTCCGCGTCCTTGGCAGCCGCATCATCGCGGAGAAACTGCACCTCCTGCCGACACTGCTGCAGTTCCGCCGTGAGGCCCTTCTGCTTCTCCACCAACTCCCGCACAACGCGTTCAAGGTCCTGCCGCACCACCGCGTGCTCGGATCTGCGGCGTAGCAGCTCTTGCTCGCGGTAACTGGCGTCCTGCATGGCGAGCACCGCCTGCTCCCTCCAGTGTTGCAGCTCCCTCTCCATGCTAAAGATGCGGCGGTGCTTCTCGAGGCTTGTGACATCGTCCACATTATACTTCCGCTGGGGTGCAGCAGCCACATCCGGCGGGAGTACTCGGACATCATTGTTGTTGTTGTTGTGGTGGTGGTCGCTGCTGCCGCTCGTCCATCGGCGATCGGCGGAACTAGAGCGAATGCGGCGTATGCCCGTCGATGACATTTCCCCCCCACTCACCACTCCTTACAACACACATAGAGAGAGAGAGAGAGAGAGAGAGAGCAAAAGAAACAAAAGTACATATAGAAAGGGAGCTGCAAGTTGTAGACGGATAAGCCACATCCCCATCACGCCCAAAGCGCATGACAAGAACGTCGTCACTCCTGCAATCACCAACACCCTCCGTAGAGGGCGCAGCGGCAATACCAACAACCACCAGCGGCGCGCAAACCTCCACGCGGAATGAGACATTGCTACCGGCGTGACGCGAAGCTCACAGGTGGGGTGACTATCTGCACGCAAGCAACACACCCTCCTCTGCCAAAAGGCTAGACCCATCAGCGTGATGGTGGCGTAATACCTCAGCACCACCAGCAGCGGGTTTTCTGCAAGAAACGAACCAGAGGTCAGCCGGCTCCCACTATACAGCGAAGACGAAAACCTTGACGACCATAAAGCGACGAAACCAGAGCAGATAGCGTGGGGCTCAAGACGACAGCAACCAACCCTTATTATACGGAACAGTCATTGCAGCTTTCGTCCTCATCTCCACTGCCTTCTGCTGTTGCTGCTGCAGTAATGGCGGAGATGAGGAGTAATAACTGAAACTACTTGGGGCATGGTACTCTGGCGCACACATGGCCTTGCAGCAGCAGCAGCAGCAGGGCGAGAGCATGAAGTGTAAGAAACACCAAGAGCCGTGCGCCACGCCTTGGCAGCTGATGCTACTGAAGCAGCTCGCGCCTATTGTCCCTTCCCCTCCCCATTCAGGCCCATCGCACCAGTGGGGTCAGACGGCGGTGATGACTTTGTGTTGTCTCTCCCTTGTGCACTGCGGTGGGGGTACCTCTGTTACTCATGTTGCTGCTGCTGTTTCTTCTTGAAGGAAGAGGGAAGGACACACCACGACTCCTGCGTGCGGCGTCCGTTTCCAACTCCCTTGACGGGCAGAGAGCTCCCCCCCCCCAAAGCCAGGGGAGGGGGCACGCAACGGCAAACGTGGCCTCATACAAGCGTTGGCCGGGAGCCTTTCTCCATGGGGAGGTGTACGTGCGCCACACCAGTCTACGCCTTCTTCTCGCAATCGAGGAGCGGTGGAGACATGAGAGCACACACAAAAAACAACAACAACAACAACAAGCCATCAAACAAATGACACAAAACAAAACGAATAATGCACGGACCTTATATTGAGAACGCTACACAAAGAAGCAATCGTCTTACACGCGCCACCACTTAGCAAAGACAGGTCTATCCCCATGCACGCATACACGGCACGGCTCTCAAGACGCATGCACATACTGTGAAGACTGCGTGATGAGTCTCAGGGAGAAAAAAAAGTCAACGCAAATGCCTTTTTAACAAAAAAAAAGTCTAAATGAATGAGAATGATGAAAGAGGAGCAATCGATTTCCACCACCACCCCCCACCTCTTCTCCAGACGCCACGGCACGTCCCCTACTTATGCTTCTCCGCCCGCCTACTCCCACAGCCATTAGTGTAGTAGAGGTACACGGAGCACATGACGAAGACCCCAGCCGTCAAGTCCTGCGGTGTCAGCGGCTCGCCCAGCACTGCTGCTGCCAACAAAGCCATGAACACCACCTCCACGGCCGAGGCGAATGCCTTGACAATCACATTAATAAACTTCAAGATAAAAGCCGCAGTGAGGCCGTTGAGGGCGCCCACGAAAATAATCGGAATGAATATGATGTGGGCGTTGCCAAAGAAATTTCCATGTAAGTACTCCTGGGGTGCGAGGATGAGGCCAAAGAGGAGATTAAAGAATATACCGTACAGATACAAGAAGAAGTTCTGTTGGTGAATACTCAGGTGCGCCTCGCGCTTCAAGGCCAGCTCATTGTACACCCCGGCCAGGGATGAGAGGAATGCCTGCAACAGCACCACCAGCACGCGTGCGTCCATCATCTGCACTGCCGTGGGCAGGATGTACTTGATGACGAGACCGAGGGTCAGTACGATCAGCGCCAGCCACTGCCGCAGCGACAANGAGCGGTGTAGCACTCCCACAGAGAGAAAACCGGTAAAGAGAATGCGCGTCTGCATGAAGAGCTGCACCGTGCCAGGATCGAAATGGCGCAGGCTGATGTAGGTAAGATTATTATACATGGCGTAGAGCAGGGCAGGCACGACGTACAGCACACTCATGCGCCACAATTCCCAACGATGCGGCGCCAAAGTGATGCTGTACAGCAGCAACTCACCATCACTTGCGTACTTCAACACCACTGAGACAAGAATCTTCGTCACCTCCATTGCCATCACAATGGAGGTGCTGTCATACGAGAGGATGCTCTGCTTCTCAAGGTATTTGCTGTAGCGAATTGCGAGGAATAGAATAGTACTGGTACCTATGTACATCGCCGACAGCGCTAAGCTGCGCCACACACCGAACTGCGTCCCTTCCTCAGGTGGAACCGCCGATGTGGAACACACCGCTCCCTCATCGTTGCTGCTGCTGCCGCCGCCGCCGACATGTACACGAGTGACGCCCCTTTCCTGTAGGGGGCTGCAGGGTTGCATTTATTTGCACTTCTTGTTGCTGGTCCTTCTCGTCTCGGCTCTTCACCACTCCCCCCCCCCCCNCCTCCCCACCGGAGAGGATGGATGCTGTACACTCAGGCTGTTTTCTCCACCACCCACTAATAAAGATCCAAGATCAACACGTGTGAGATGACGAAAGCAAGCAGGCTCTATATATTCCACACTATATATCTCACAGCACGGGTGAAGAGTGCAGGAAATTATCAGAGCCAGCAGCAATGACAGTGCCCCTGCTTCACGAGAGGAGCCAACTACGCTGCTAGAAGGTCTCCTAATATGCTCACAACCTAGCAACAAACAAACAAACGAGTATGAGCGGCAGAAAATAGGAGACAGAGATACAGAGTCGCCGATGCAATAGCACATGCAAAAAACAGACAGGCAGACGCGTACATAAATTTGAATGCATGTGAGCAGAAAATAATAAAACAAGGCAGTTCTTGACGCATGCCTCAAGACACACCACTTTACTCGCCTCGGTTCCCGCCTTCCACTGCCCTTCTGCTGCTCTCGCCGTACGAACGCAGCGCGACCAACCAGCACCCTGCCTCACTCGCCGAAGCCGATGGCGGTGGCAGCAGCTGTACTTCTGTCACTCCGTTTGCTATCAACAACTGTAGGTACTGCAGCATCATGTTCGCGGCAGCAGGGGCGCCGTACTCATGCTCCCACAAACAAATCTGACACAGTCGCTGCACAGTGATGCGAATACCGGCCTCCTTGTCAACTGCCACGTGTTGCCCTTCAAACACCCACCACAGACGCACCACGCGGAATATGCGACGCACAAAGACGTACCGCGTAGTGGAAAAGACCACCATATCATTAGTGGCACCCTCTTCCGCATTCTTCCCTTTCTTCTTCTGTTTTGTGAGGGCTTCCGCAACTTCAGATGGTGTGCGGGTGGCTACCTCAAGCGGCTCCATGGCGGCGGGCTGCAGAAACACACAGCGGCACACTTCCAATGGCCTTGGGTTAACGTTGAGGCCGCTGCTGCACTGCACCCACGATAGGTACTGCGCTGACGACACCTCCTTTGCCCAAGTGGCTTGTTCGTGTGGCACGCTGCTGTTGCTACTGCCATCGTCGTCAATGGCCTCTGCATTTTCCTTTTCGACCGGCGGATCCTCCACATATTCACGCGAGGCATATCGTCGAGAGAGTGAATGGCGCTCACCACTGTAGTGCGGCTGCAAGTGGCGGCACCGCTCTCGCTCAATGCGTGCCCATAACAGTTCCGTCCACTGCTTGTGTGCCTCGCGGCGGCGCAACTCGCGTCGCTCCATCTGCACCACGCTAGGGTTGGCGGTGTACACCAGTAAGAAGTGCAGCAGCGACTGGTAATGCGCTGCGAATGGGAGACTTTCCCACTGAATTAGTGCCGACAGTCGTCCCAGTGTGATGGGGGTGCCAACGACATGGCCGAACAACAGTCCGATCTGCTCGTTGATGATCTGCATCATCGCGGAGGAGGATTGGGTGAGCAGCGGCGCCCCCACCAACGTTTCGCCGAGGACTCCCTCCCGCGCCTCCACACACCAGCGCCGAAGACAATCGTTACCCTCAACGGACTCCCGAAACTCAAGCGGAGCTTCTGGAGGTGGTGGGCCTCTGCGCTGCGTCCATGCCTGTGATTGATCGCCATCGCCGGAACTACCTGCAGGAGCAGCGTTACGCAGTAGCAGCGGAAGGTCGCGCTGGTCAAAGGTGCTGATCCAGTGGTCGACAAGACTCTGTGAGATACACATACGCTCATGTGCGGTGCTGCCTGGCGCCATGGCTGCAGCTACCTTAGAGGAAGCCTTGGGTCCATTATCCTCATCGGGGATATCCAGCATCACCCACCAGAAACTCAGCATGTAATTCCACCCGGATACTTCCTTCAGCTCCACCGACTCCACTGTGGCATCGTTAACGCCACTGTTATTTTTGTTGCTGTTGCAAGATCCTTCTTCTGGCGACACGATTCGCCACGCCGTTCGCATCCATCTTTCATTGCGGTCAGCGGTATTCGACGCAAGACATAGCGACGGCAGGTTCGGGTAGCAGACGAAGCCGCCTGGTGAGACACGGAACTGCGAATCCACAGCGAGCAGGAGTCGCACGGTGGACTCCACGGGACAGGGGCCACCTCCCGCTCCGCCTGTCGCGCCTCTCCGCACCATTGCAGGAGGCATGATATGACTGCGGAGATACTCGATTCGACCAGACGCCTCCGCCACATTTGCTGGTGACACCTTTGCAGCAGCAGCAGAAGACAGCGGTGACGTGGGAGACGGCGTCGTCGCGCTCTCACACGGCTCTTTTTCGTGTGCGTTCCTCACCTTCCGCACCAACTCGTCTGGAGTGAGCGGCTCAGACGCGAGCAGCACTTGCCGCACCATGATCTCGCGTATGCGACGCTGTGTGCGCACGTGCGGCATGACTGCTTCTGCCGCTGCTGCTGCTGCCACTTTTGGCTTGGCGGGAATAGCCCATCTGACCCAAGTACGCCGCATACCCTCCTTCTCTGCGTTTGTACGTCTATGCGTGGGCCCTCGTCCTGCAGCCACAAGAGTCTGCGGCGGCGGTGGCTGGGGGTGTGGTGGGGCGCGGACACACAACCTCTCCCTGCGGCAAATTTCATTTTGTGGGCGTCATCGCGTTCCCAACAGAAAGTGGGATAAAAAATAAAGCAAACAAATAAAGAACAAAGAAGAGGGCACAGTACCTAGCACAGGTAGAAGAAGACCAGGTTAAATGCTACAGCGCACAGCCAAACGCATTAACATACATCCATGCTCTCCCTTCTTCAACTCCGCTTCCGTGCGGCTGCCAGCAGGGATGCGGCGTTGGGCGGAGCCGCGTAGAGATTGCCGGCCACACCATCGATCGCATTCACAACATGCAAGGGAGAACAAAAAAAAAGCGCAGCACACGACATGCCCAACACAGCACAGACTTAAACCAATTGGCGGCGCCCAACCCTCGCGGCCTCGCACAGTGTGCTTTGTGCGTGTGGGCTCTTCCTCTCCACCCAGGGCAGCCGTTTTCAGCGATGCTTCCGTATAATCGCCAGTCGTTGCATTTCGCGCTGCACGGCGTTCGCAATACCGTTGAAGATACGCCGTTCCTCCTCCGTTTCACTCTCCTCGTCTGTAATGCCGTCTGTCGCCGCCACCGTTTCGCTCGATGAGGCTGCTGTTGTGCCTCTACTCGCTTGCGTTTCATGCACCACCTCCGGCATGCGCTCGATGAGGTGACTGAGCGCCGCCATCACATCACCCTCACCATCGGCCTTTACAGTACTGTCGCTATGGCTGCTGCTGCTGCTGCTGCTCTCAGAATCCTCCTCCNCCTCCTCTTCTTCCACCACATCTTCACTCTCTTCGTCCTCACCCTCGCCGTCGCCTTCAACACCCTCCGACTCCATGCTGCTCAGCACCTTTAATAGTTCGGCCGCCGGCCCCGCCTTGTCGCCCCACCGCCGCGTCATCTGCAGCGCCACCGCCGCGGCCCGCACCGTCTGTTGCTGCTGCAGCACGTGCAGGAGTGGGACTGCCAAGGCAACATAGTTCTGAATGTCGTCATCCTCGTCGTCGCTGGCTTTTGCAGTGGCTGAAGGCTGACATCGATTCTGTGTACTGCCCGTGGTCTTTTTGTTGCTACTGCCACTTTTGGAGTTTAACTGCTGCTGCTGTGGGGCGGTGACAGCGCTGCTGCTCGGCGTCGGCGCGTGTTGCATCACCCTCTGGGCGGCGAATTCCCCAAACAGCTAATGGACTGCAACACACTGACACGTTATATATATATATTCATTGAGAGAGAGACGGGAGGGAGAAAGATAGATAAATGAGTAACCGAAGGGTATGAACGACGATGTGGTCCGCCAGGCCTAAATAACACACATACAGAGGCACACGCCTACAACACAGAGACACAGGCACAACTACACACAGCCAGGTACGATACGGCGAAAATACAACACGACCAGGCGACCCTTGGCGTCCGCACAAATATACGCGGAGCTAGGCTTCTGCGTGTATACGTTCATCTGTGTCATTTTTTTCTTCCAAACAAAACGTCCATTACGTCCAACAGAAGACGGGATCTTCAAAACGTCCATCCGTCAGAAAAATGCAACCATAAACCAAACAAGAACAACCGCGTCACTGGCCTGTCCTCCTACTGTCCCACTCCCGTCTGTCCGCTCCCATCACCGACGGGGTGCGGCGACGAGTGCGACACTGCGCCGCCACTGCTGCTGCAACACCCCTGGGAACGTGCTGCTCCCTCTCGCCACTTCTGCTCGCGCTGCAGCTTCTCCACCTCGCCCGCACCGTACATCGCCGGCGACAGCGTCAGGAGCGCGACGTAGTGAAAAATAGCTGTGATCACAAAGGTGTACTGATACCCCTTCGCCTCCGCGATGTAGCCGCCCACCACCGCACTACCCGCCCACGTAAAGGATGAGAAACTCTCAAAGGCAGACCACTTGGCGCGGCTCTCCTTCCGCACGTAGTCCATGATGACGCTGCGTGTGACACCACGCGTGCAGTTCATCATCGCATTGCGAATAATGAAGACCGGCAGCAGTATAACCAGATTCAGGTGCGTCAGCCCCATAATCAGCAGCAGCGTGGCGCCAATCACACGTACAAGAATGACCGCGGCAACGCGACTCATGTAGCGTTCGCCCACGTGCCGTACCACAAGCGAAAGACCGGCGGTGACCACGGAGACAGTGATATACGTCCCCATGAGTATAACTGGTGACACGCCGTGATCGTTAACCAGGAACAAAGGAATGTAGCGCATCGTCATACCAGATCCGACAGCAACGAGGAAATCGACAAGACACACCAGGTATGGCACCGCCGACCATTCATACATCCAGTTTGCGTAGTAGCACGCCGCCGCAGCCAAACGCCCTGCACTGTTGCGCTCGCACTGAGCCGCAAGAAACTCTTCATGCCGACGTTCACTTCGTGTGGCGATTTGGAAGAGAAGGGCCTCACGCTCCAAGGAAGCATCTTCTGGCGTTTTCGCCGCTCCTCGAGGTGTCGTTGTTACCGGGCTGTTTGACAGCGACGTGCCCAATGTGTTATCCGCGTCGATTTCGTGCTGCACGAATCTTTCCTGCGAGGAAAAGGGACAGTCGGTGGGACTGACGACCTGCTTCATCGGCGAACTCGACAGCTGCTCGTCGTCTGTGCTCTCCACGTGGATGACAACTTGTGCCGTGCCACGAGTGGCCTTCTCGTCGAGTGTGTACTTGTCCTTCATCGTGAAGAGCAGTAGGTGGGCAATAGGATGCAGTGCGTAGCCCGTGCAGATGAGCTTCTGCAGACTTCCAATGTCCCAGTCGTTGCCGAGGCGCAGCAGCATGATGAGAGAGGTGAAAGACCCGACACAGTCACAAAGCGTCTGGTTGATCCACTTGAGGTTGTACACAAAGTCGCGTCGGCCGGTCTCTACGCTGTCAGCAAACAGCGTTTCTGTACCAGTGGCAATTATCCCGGAGTATGCCCCCCATAACAGCGACGCAAAGAAAAAGACGGGCACTCGCAGCACCGTCACACCATAGATGGAGAGCGCTGCAGCAAATAACCCGCAGACGGCGCCAATTCGCACCACTGTCTGCCGCCGTACACTGACGAAGAAGCCGACAAACAGCGCCCCCAACATCTGCGCCATGCCAGACGTCGCAGAGAGCCACCCAACCGTCGTGTCACCGGCCATGCGATTGATGAGTATCTGGAAGGCCTGGGCGTACCACAGTGAGAAACACGCCCCGTCAATGAAGCAGAAGAGCAGCACCCGTTGGACGTTTGGGTTGCGCAGCGCTGCCCAGTCGCCGCGGAGGAGGCTGTCCAGACGACGCCCCAACCGGCTTGGGCTATGTTCACTTCCGCTCATGCACACCTATATCTATATATTTATATATACCTCTGTGTGTGCGTGTGTGCGCCGCTGATAGGGGGCAATGCACGTGATGAACCTAATAACATGATTTATAAAAGAGAGAGAGAGAGAGAGAGAGAGAGAGAAATGTAGTGAATTAAAGCAGAAAGAACCAAACAAAGACAGGTCAGTTGACCTGCCGCTCCGTCACACTATCATGGCCACGATACACAGTGACCGCCTTGCACATACACAGCCTATAGACACAGACAGCCTTCTTGTCAATTTTTTTTCGGATTCACATTAATACTGTCTTGCATGTTTGCTGCTGCACGATCCTCCTCCGACAGTATACTGGGATTGGTGCTGCTGCCTCCGCTACTTCTGCTGCAGGAGACTTCCAGACATTGCCGGACATCACGCTTCTCTTGCTTTGTCGCGCGTATTTGCTGCTCCACACTGTGCGAGGCAACAGCGGCTGGCACGAGTGCGAGGATGCCGACGTAGTGAAAAATCGCCGTAACAAGGAAGGCGAACTGATACCCTTTCGCCTCCGCGATGTAGCCGCCCACCACCGCACTGCCCGCCCACGTAAAGGATGAGAAACTCTCAAAGGCAGACCACTTGGCGCGGCTCTCCTTCCGCACGCAGTCCATGATGACGCTGCGGGTGATACCCATTGTTGAGTTCATCATCGCATTGCGCAGGAAAAAGAGCACCACGACAACACCCAGTCGCGCCATATCACCCTTCGCAAGGGCAAGCAGCAACAAGAAGGTGGTCCCCACAGTGCGCACCCCCACCACGGCGGGGAGGCGACCAACGTAGTGCTCCCCAATGTACCGCACAACCGTGGCGCAGAGCGCGGCACCGCAGGAGATGGCGATGTAGGTGCCCATCAGCCACACAGGCTCGATGCCGAGGTCATTCACAAGAAAGAGCGTGAGGTACTGCACCGTCATGCCGGAGCCAACAGCCATCCAGAAGTCGGTAAAACACACTAAATACGGCACTGCACCCAACGAAAAGAACCAGGAAAATACGGTGCCAAACACACCACAGCGGGCCGCACCTGAAGGGCTTTCATTAAAACTACCACCGCCACTGTTGGAAGGACGAATGTTGACGTTTGCGTCTAGACACGCCCCACTCGCGTCCGTCTCACATGCACTAGAACTGTTAAGGTCGTTACGTTGTATAGAAGGTTTCTGCTCATAATGTGTGATACTGTCTTCTTCTTCCTCCTCTTCAACTGAGGGTGACGACACGTGTGCGAGGAGTGACCTCGCTTGCTGGCTCTTACGCTCCTCGCCCCCAGCCGCGTCGAACACAACAGGCACGCTCTGGCGCAGCGCGTATTCATCACCTAAAAGGAAAAGCAGCAGGTGGGCGATTGGATGGACGCCCAGCCCTACGGTCATGACGAGTTGTATGCTCTCTCTGGACCACTCGTTGCCCATCACCAGCAGCATCACCAGCGCCACCAGGTACCCGACGCAGTAGCACACCGTCTGCACAATCCACTTGAAGTTGTAAATAAACGCGCGGCGTCCCGAGGCAACACTGTCGGCGAATAACGCCTCTGCACTCGTTAGCACCAGACCCGTGTATACTCCCCACAAGGCTTGAGTAATGTAGAAGGCTGGCATCGTCAGCAGATGCACCGCCGCCAACGTCGCAGCGACTGCAACAAGACCACAAAACGCACCGACGCGAATGACATCTTGCCGCGGCAGCCGATCGCCAGCGTAGCCAGCGGCAGTGGCACCCACAATTTGGGCGATGCCTGAAGCAGCGGCACACCAGCCGACGGCAGTATCGCCACCTAAAGTGCTCACGAGCACTGGGAAAAGCTGCGCACTCCAGACACTTAGGCAGGCACCATCGAGGAAGTTAAACAGAATGATAAGCGCAACATTGCGGTTGCGAAAAATGCCGCTGCGCGTTGCCTGGTAATCCATCCCCAATGGCCTGCGACGTTTCCTATGCAATAGCCAAGCAAGTAAGCGCATGAAGGTGTAAGAGAGAGAGAGAGAGTGTGTGTGTGTGTGTGTGTGTGAGAAAATCACAGACAACGGCGATTACGAAGCCACACAACGGAACCGAGCACATACTCACTCACTCACGGGCATATATACATATATATATATGTATATATGAAGCGCAAGAAAGGGTGGTAGAACGGGAGGGGGGGAAACCACAAATGCACACGCCATAACGAAAGAAAAAAAAAAAANAAAAAAAAAAAATAGGACAGAAAGAGACACACACCTCATGGCTTCCAATAATCCCCGTAGCTCACTTCCGAGCAGAGCTGCGTGCCGAAGCGGGCGAGCGTCTCATTCGCTGCGGCGATTATTGTTGTGGTACCCTCCATGCCAAACTCCCCGCCCCATACATTCTTCACGACGCCTCCGGCCTCCGTGACAAGGAGGCTGCCGGCACAGACGTCCCAAACTCTACCGGCAGGCTCCATGTATAGGTCTACGCGACCAGCAGCAATCTGTGCGAGGATGAGAACACAGGCACCGTAGCAGCGCAGTCCCTGCACAGGTTCCATCGCAAGTCGCTGGCGAATGTGCCCCGCTGCCTCGACCACCTTCTGGAGCTTCTTCTGCTTGACCGCGTCAATGTCGATGTTGCTGTCGGNCGCTGGCGAATGTGCCCCGCTGCCTCGACCACCTTCTGGAGCTTCTTCTGCTTGACCGCGTCAATGTCGATGTTGCTGTCGGCGGAGGCGGCTTTCTGCTCCTCCTCAGACAGCCTGGCGCCGGTGGGGTAGTTGAGCACCACAAGCGCAGACCTTGGCGTGGCGTCAAACCACGCGTTGAGTTGATGACCGTTGAGGAACGCACCCCTGCCGCGGATCGCGGTGTACATTTCCCCCATCAACCCACTAGAGGAGACCGACCCCGTCGGCGTATTGGAGGCTGCGGAAAGAAATGGACAGAAGACGACCGCGAGCACGGTGACCTTCTTGATGGTGAGTCCAATGCTGACGCAGCAGTCACATGCCCCATGAATAAACGCCATTGTGCCGTCAATCGGGTCGACAATCCACGTCGGGGCGTCTGTCAAGGGCGCGTCGGGGGACATCTCCTCCGTGATGAAGTTGAACTTGAATGAAGGGAATCCAGCCTCAGACTTCTCATGCTCCACCTTCGCATTGAACTTCTTCAATATCTTCGTGATGATCTCGTCGCAACGCTTGTCATAACACGTCACGAGGTCTGTACTCGATGATTTGACCTGCACGTCGAGGAGCTTCAGCGCCTTCTCGGCATCATGTTCGGCGTTTCTAGCGCTGCCACCCTCCTTAAATAGCCTCGCCGCAGTCGCGGCAGCAGCCACACGACGGTATTGATAGAACTCCCACATGATGGCCCCTGCCTTTCGCGCTGCATTCATCGCAACGCCAAGTGCCTCGTCCAGGTTGATGTCGTACTCCTCCATTGCTGTATGGGTTACTTTGACTGCGTTGTACTCACACGCGACTTTGCTAATAATGCTTTCTCCCTTTCGATGGTTTCGCAGAGTCATATAGATGGGAACAGGGAAAATATCTCCAGAGTGTTGTACAAGGAACAAAAAAAAAAAAAATAACGAAGGGATGAGGAGATAGAAATAGGAAGGCCCATTCTGCCTACATTCCTCCTTGTTTCCTCTTTCCTTTTCTTTTTGTGTACTAGTGCTGAATCCTCCAAATGAGATTGGGAGGGAACACATCAGACCCCAAACAGAGCGAGGAATCCCCCATTCGTACTTAAACACCTCAACAACACTCCTTTCCTCCGATCGCCGCTTCTCACACACCACCATTCGCCGAAGCGGTGGGCCTGTGATGCCGCACGGTTGGTGCGAGCACCAACAAATCCCCAGTTTTCCACCCGCGACTAGCCCCCTTTGTGAGGCGAAGCTCATGCATCGTTATGTGGTCCCCGGTGTGGAATACAGGCCTGTCAACGCGCAGAACAGTAATACCTCGTATTTGCGGCTTCCTGGATGGATCAACGAATACATGAGAAAGATGCACCTTAGCGACTGAGAGTGGGGGTGGGCGATTGCCACGTCTGCGACCCCGCCGCGTGAATGGTGCATCTTCCTTCTGCTTGTCTTCCTCTTCTCCTTCCTTATTATTAGTGTTTCTGCCTGCCTCCGTGCGCTCGCGCTTAGCGGGCGGCCCCTCATCTGGCTCTTCATCGGTGAGGGAATCGCTGGGGTTCTTGTCGTCGTCCTCCTTCTGTGCGCACCCGGCACCGCCATTCTCATCCCCCTCCCCTTCTCGAGCACCAGCCTTGGAAAGCCCCTCGGCGTTCCCTCCCTCCTCTTGCTCAGCCAACTTCCACGACCCGTGACCATCCCCAACTGATGCTACCGGGTGTGTGGTGTCGGACGTAGCATCAACAGCAGGGGGCAACAGCACACGCCTGGCCGCCGCGCTGGACGCCAGGACTTCCTCCAGTATCTCTCGCAGCGTCGTATCCTCCCACACATACACAGGCACCTTGAAAAATGACGGAATGACCCGTTCCTCCACCAGAGTCGAACTCCCTGCCCCGTCCGAAACAGCGTCCTCTTTGCGGGTTCCACCAGCCATTGTGATTGGCGCGATGTCCTGCAGGAACGCCGTTGGCTCAACCATGTTTGGATCCACAACCACAATCACCGAGAGGCTGTGCGGCACAGCTGTGGGAGCGTGACGGTTAGTCACGAAGGACTGCGGTGGCGCCACCCAGAATGCGCTGCGATCCTTCAGCTCCCTCTTCACCCCACCGCTGCCAGCGCCACCTCGGCCTCGCCCCCGTGATCGCATCATGTTGTTTGTTCTCAACCTGGTTCTACACGAGGGGGAACTATGGTTTGCCCACACCAATGCCACGCGGTGAGGAGGAGTATGGGGGGCGGGGAAACGCCAGTGGAGAGTGGGGCGCAACAGCAACAAGAACAAACGGGGTGGGGGATGGGAGAGAAAGAGAAAGAGGGAAACCAGTGAGCCAATCAGGGGGGATAAATGGTCCGAGGCACGCGAACAGAAACGAGCTACGAGGGGAGGTGAATCCATTGCTAGGCAACCACGCGCATCGACACCGATGTCAGCCACTCCTCTGACCTCCAAAACCAACAAAACAAAAACAAAAGACATGGATAACACCGGCCACAATGGAATTCGCATTCTTGAAAAGAGAACAATGCGGCAGTGTTTTTCCCCCAAAATCTGCGTTCGTTAACCTTTTCTCTAACTTTTGCCTTTTTTCTTTTCTCTCTCTCTCTTTCTCTCTTTGTATCCTTTCCCGCGTGGCTGCCTTACACCACCACGCGGCTTCCCTTTCCTCCTCCGCCTCCTCCCTGGCGAGAGAGAGAAGAGAGGCACGCAGCCACACTCTCTTAAAACACACACACACGCACACATCAAATCAAAACAAAAAAAAGAACCGCAACTAAAATAGGAATGCCTCTTCTCTTGCCTCGGCGTGTGGCATACACGTGAGAGCTGACACGAATACACATCGCTGAAGCAGGCACGCGAACGCACCCACAAGCACAGACGCAAGCAAACAGGCACGCGGGAGTGGGAGGGAAGGGGAGTGGGTAAGTGACACGGTGTACCACAGAAACACGACATCGCAGCACGAAAATAAAAAAAAAAAAGGAAATATCAACCGCAATAAATGAACCAGGCACACACACACACAGAGAGGGAATCAACCACGCCTAGCTAACGCCTTTGTCCATTTCTTTTTGTCACGGCGCGTCTTTCTACGTGCGTGTACGCATGTGTGTGCGTTGCCCCTACGCCTTGTCATTTGCGCCCTGTTCCGAGTATGGCGTGGCGACCGTGACGTCCGTCGCCACCTCCGTGCCGCCCTCAAACGGCGAGGCGCCCGTGTGCTGCGAGCCGTCGGTGTAGGCGTTCGTCGGCGTCGGTATCTCATCCATCGGCGTTGCGTCCGACATGGAAATCTCGTCATTGCTGCGTGCTGACGCAATGGCTCGCGGCGAGGCCACACGGGAGGCGAGGTTCTTCGTGAAGGCGAGCTTGCCGCGACGCGCAACGCCCTGCGAGTAGAGCGAGAAACAGCCTATCGCGGAGAGGCCGAGCTGGTACACAAACAGCGCCACGAATGTCTTCCAGTAGGTCCAGCCCTCAAAGCCCATCTGGCGAATCATCGTGTCGCCGTCGGCGATGCTGCAGTTCGGCGTGACGGGGTCGCAGATAACGTCCAGGCGGCTAAACTCGTTCGTGAAGACGCCAAGGTAGGCGTGGCGAGGGAAGGAAACATAGTTCAGCCACACCCAGTACGGCTCCAGCCGCTCCGTGTTGGCGAACAAACCAGCCACAATGAAGAGCGGGAGGAAAATCACCGGCAGGAGTGCAAATGCCGTGGTCGAGGTCTCAAAAAAGGTCGCGAACATCAACCCGAACGAATAACCCAACGTGGAAATGAGCACCAGAATAAACCAATGCACGAAGAAGGCGTCGGCACTGCGATAGAAGTGAATCATAAAGTACGCAATGAGGTCAAATACGGTAGGAAATATTATCTGGAAAGGCATTTCTGCAGCATATTTCCCGATAAAGTATATAAACGCGTTGTACGAATCATTGGCCTGCTCCTGCAAGAAGACAGCTCTCTCCGGCGGGTAAACCGAAACACCATGCATCGCAGAACCAAACAAATTGTTCAGCAGCGTCATATAAAGCGCACCTGTGCGATCTTGCACACCCTCCTGTGTGACCTTCACATTGAAGAAGAACAGACCCATGAACACCGCGAAAAACAGTGTTTGGAAAGAACGTCCGATAAAGGCACTTGGGTCACGACGATACATACGAAGAGAGCGCTTTGAAAGCTCCGAAAACTGCACACCAAAGCTGGAGCCCTTGAGCCTTAACTGCTTCTCCAGGAAATCGTTCTGATGGGTAATAGGGCCTTGCACAACACTCAAACACGCGTTGCTGTTTGCTTTAGGGGACATAACATAGTCTTCCCACGCTAACCACAACTGAGACAGCTCCTCTTCTGGAAGCTGTAGGATGTTCATGTAGTACTCGCTGGGATTAGTGCGGGGCGGCAGCTGGTATCCCAGGCTGGCAAAGTACTCCATGGAGTCTGCCGTGGGACCATGGTAGATGACGTGACCCTTGGCGAGCAGCAGCAGGTCGTCAAACAGTTCCACTAACTCAGATGAAGGGGAGTGCACTGTTGCAATGACGGTACGCTTGTCTCTCTTCGCCAGATCCTGCAGCATTTGCCCAACACGCACGGCGTTCACGGAGTCCAACCCAGTCGTCGGCTCGTCCAACAACATAACGTACGGATTCGTCACGAGCTCAGTGGCCACGTTGGCACGCTTTCGCTCACCACCAGAAACACCCTTCAAAATGCCAGGAATGCCCAGCACAGTGTCCTGGCATTTGGTCAGATGCAGCCGTTGAATAACCTCTTCCACAAGACCCTTCGACACCTCCTCACTCATGCCAAGACGCACGCGACATGCGAAATGAATCGCCTCACGCGGAGTCTCTTTGCCCATCACAATATCATCCTGCGATACGTACGAAACGAGCTTCTTGTAGCGCTGCGAGTAGATGGTGTTGTTCAAGAAACAGCAACCCTCCATGGTCGACGAGGCGTTATAGAGCTTTCCTGTGATGGCGCCCATGAATGTCGTTTTACCAGCACCTGATGGTCCCATAATTGCCAACACACGCCCACCCAGCGCAGTGCCGCTCAGGTTGTACAGCAGGGTCTTCTGCGTGGTGTTACCATCATCATCCTCCACAGGAACTTTGTAGGTCAAATTCTCCCACGTAAAATTCACCACATTCTCAAGCACGAGGTTCCCATGTTGGTGTTCTTCGCCATGGAGTTCCTCAGCCATTACTTACCGCTGTTACCGCCTCCCGATCGGTTTGCGAGTGTTGCGTACCGGAGTCTAAACCGCTATAAGTTGCAAAGCTACAAAAATAACAACAACAAGAGCAGCAACATAAGTAGTGGAAACACCAGAGAATCCAGCAAGCCATTTAGCCACAAGGAGAGGAAGGAAATTATACAATAATATATATATATATATATGCAACTGAAACACTGCCCTGGACTGTCAGAATTTCACCGGAGAGCTCCGGCAAAGAATACGCCTGGATGGTTATGTGACGTGGCACCAACGATGCGATAAACCACAAGAAGAAAGAAGCAACAATCGTTGTCGAAGTCTCAAAGTGGATCCCCAATGAAGGGAAAACCCACACCCAGACATTTTTACAGCCAGCTTGAAGTTTCCATGCGTTGTAGCAGTACGGCAGTGGTCCGCGCCCACGTCGTTGGTGCCGCGACATCACCCCGCCCCCCCACACCACAGCGGGGGGGGATGGACGCACTGATAGGTGGTGTCTTTCGCTAGCGGCAGCGGCGCCTCACGCTCATGTGCCCGATTATCTCCTGACTCTCAAAGACGGGGGGAGAGAGAAGGAATCATAAAATAATACTGGAGTGCAACATGCAGTTCACACAGCGCCAGAGACGCACACACACACACACATACCGATCCATTTACTGAGAAATAAATCAGCCCCAAAGCACACCACCTGTTCGCGAAAAACCTCCTCAAGCCTTGTCGTGTTTTGCTTTCTCATCATCGGAAGACCCTTGCTCGGTCATCGCAAAAAAAAAAAAAAAAGAAACTCTTCTGAATCGCAAACCTTCTTTCCCGAAATCCCTCCCCGGAAACGGTCTCTCTTGTACTGCTTCATACATAAAACACAAGAGTGTATAATTGCAATATATGCCAAGTATTTGTGAGACGCACACACGTGTATGGCGCGCGGTTGTCCCATAGCTATTCCCCTTCACTCCCCACACAGCACACACCTACACACGCGCCCAAGCTCAGCCCGTGAGCGCCACGCAAACGCTTCCCACACCCCAGTACAAAGAAACCCACACAAAAAAACAGGAATAACGAGCGAACACACAGGGAAAACAGAAACCAGCCGGCCCTCAGTCTCACCACCCTCTTCAACCATCTTCGTTTCTGAATTCGTTGCATTTGGCCGATTTTGTTTCTTCCCGTGCGGTTGCCCGACGGATCAAAAGAAAAAAAATCAACAACAACAGCCCTTCCCCCCCAGTGAAAAAGAAAATCCTGAAAAATGCCATGCAGACCATAGACAGTATTACAGGTTACATCTTCATACATGGCAAGCACAGTCAGTCAAGATGGTTATTTCGCTTTCTCCTCCGCCTTAATGAGCTCCAGAATACCGTCCTGCATCTCCTTCACTGCCTCGTACTCGGAGAGTCCAAGGCGGCGCTTGTTGCTGATGTCGTACACACCATCAGGGCTGTCTGAGTGCTCACCGGCGGTGCCGCGCACCTGCAGGTTGTACTTGGCCGCCACCTCCTCCAGCTTGCTGAGGTCCGCCCCGAGCTTCGGCAGCTTGATGTGCACACTGGCGCGGATTGTCGTGCCGAGGTTCGTGGGGCAGAAGGTCAGGAACCCGAGGCGATCATCACGCGAGAACTTCACCTTTTCTTCAATGATGCCAACAGCCTGGACAAGGCGACCAAAGACCTCCTTCAGGTTGCCACCCTTCTGCATCGAGATGATGCGCAGGTGGTCCTCCTCGTTCACCCACACAAGGAAGGTCTTGCTGTCGTTGTGGTAGATGCCACGACCCGTCGGCCAGTACTCACAGGCGTGGGCAGCCTGCAGGAACCGGTCACCCTCCTTGAACAGGAAGTGGTCGTCGATCAGCTGCTGCTGTGTCTCCTTCGACATACCGGTCAACGGATGGTACTTCCCTTGCAGCTCGTCCGTCATGGACTCCAGCTGCGTCTTCACGCGCTCCTCCATCTCTTCGTACTGCTCCTTCTTAAGGCACGGGTTGAACGGATAGCCCTCAAGGCTACGCCCGCAGCGCACACGTGTGGAGATGACATACTTGCTCTCGGGGTCAAGATCGACGAGCGTGCTGAGGTCGCCGAAGTCCTTCGGGGGCTGCTTGTCGGTCGGCTTGAAGCCCTTGTGGTAGTCCTCGATGATCGCGTCGAAGAGAGGGGCAAACAAGGTGTACGACTCCGCGTCAGGCGCATACACACCGACGCCGGAGTCCAGGTTCTCCACACCCGACTGGATAACGTCCATCAGTGTTGCTCCCATCGTTGTCTTCTTCGTCTTGAGCTCGTCGAACACTTCCTTCGTCAGGTGCTTCTTAAGGAGCGAGTGGCACTCCGCGGCGTCCTGCAGCTTGGCGAATGCCTCCTCAAGCTTCTTAACAACATCGTCGTCTGCATCATTCTTCGCGTTGTCGGACGTGTTGGGTACATCAGCCTTCTTCGGTTCGTTCGCTGGCTTCTTTTCCACCTTCCGTGCCTGTACCGGTGCCGATGGCGCGGCCGGAGGAGCGTTGCTGGGCTTTTCCTTGCGGCGTGATACTGCGGCTCCCATGTTTGCTGTTTGTGTGAAACGAGGTGTTTCTTTTTTCTTATATCTCCTTGCGTGCTTTCTTTGTAAAGTGGATTAAGTTACAAGGTTGTTGAAGAAGTAAAGAGATAAAAAGGATTAATGTTCCCTGTTGGAGAGCTTCTATGCGTACATGTCAAGACGGGCCGACCATCTGTGGTATCTTCGCGCATTCGCTCCTTCATACAGGCGCCAATGCCTGGGTAGTGACATCGAATCCCACAAAATCAAAGGGAAACGGTGTTTGCGTGGGTGTAGGATACGCCAAACGCGACGACGCCTTCCTACCGCCACCGTCATTGCAGCTCCTCGCGTTGCGCGGCCCGCTGTGGCCATCTCTGCCCCGAATGACAGGCTCCCGCTCGCGTGTGAGGCCCATCGAGACGGCGCGGTTCACCCACCACATAAGCGCCTCTACCTTTGCTGCAGCAGTTGGGTACATTGCCCGGTCGCTGTCGCTGCAGAGCGAGAAGGTGGTGAGGGCGACGCGCGTAAAGGCTTCAACAAATGGAAGGAATGGCAACGCCGTGCCGCCGCCAGCGTAAGCCCTTTCCACATCATGGGATATGGGAGTAATGACAGAGGGATTGTACGGCTTCTGCTGGTGGTGTGATGATTGCTCCTGCTGTTGCTGTTGTTGCTCTGCCCGGGGCTTCTCTCGGCGCAGGCGGTGGAAGAGCGGGGTGAGCAGAGCGTCAACGAAGGCGCGCTGTAGCAGTGACTCATTGATGAGTGTCGGGAATACATTCACCGCGTGGAACAGCGCATGAAACCTATTGTACAGCACCGCGGAGGTCCACGCCACCCATGCCTCCTCGCCGGAATCTCCGGCGAATGTTGCCTGGTGCAACTGACACAGTGCAGTGACACGCTCTCGGTCAGCGGACGAGGAGGACGGTCGATGGCTCATGGCAGCTGTCGTGCTGTACGCGTTGAACAACTGCAGAAACTGCTTCTCATTGCGCACCAACAGTCGCAGCACCTCATCCACGGCGAGAAAACGATCTGATTCCTCCGTTTGGTATTCCTGCTGCTGTTGTTTTTCCTTTGATGCAGAAGTCGCTCGGTGAAGATGCACATTCGCGGTCTCCACACGCTGCACGGCATCTTCGTAAGCGGCGATGAAATGACCCTCGCCGAGTGTGTTGAGTGACGCAAACAAGAGTTGGCGCGGGTCACACCATTCCATGCTATCACCACCCTCGCATAGACTCCGCTTCCGGTGCTTCCAGCTGTACAGGAATAGAACCACACGGCAAAAGAAACTGAAGCTCATTGTGGCACACACGTGGTAGCCGTGCCGCTTCACACTCAACCCGTGCAGCACCTCCGTCACCGCGCGCCAGTCGTGCAGGCTCAACCGCACAAAATCACCCTGTTCGCTACTTTTGAAGGCGGGAACAGCAGACTGCATGACGTTGGGTGTGAACGACAGAGGTATAAAGGCAGAGAAATATTCTGCATGCGTCAGAAAGCGCCAGAAGCTCAACAGTGAGAGCGAGTACGCCGCATCCAACGCACCTGTCAAGCTACCCGTTGCCGAAGTCCACAGATTGGACAAGAGATGCGGTGCAGCGCTCCTGCTGGCGTAGTGCGCGTACACCCCAAAGAGCCGCCGAACCGCATCTTTCAGCCGTTGGCTCATTGTCGCACCCGTCAAGACGGTACGCCGCAACGACAGACGGCCACGCGTTGGAGCAGTCGTCACTGAGCCAATAGCCACATGACCCGCGGAACGCCGACCACCACCACCACCACTGCCTCTGCTTCCTTTCTGAGCATTGGGCCTTTTGTGGCAACGCGAGACATTGACAGGCGCAGTGGTTGCGTCGTGAGCAGCCGCACGTCCGTCAAGGCGTGTATATTTGTGCAAGATGCCGTTCTCTAGCTGTACACATTCCGCTGTTGCGGGTGCTGCTGCAATCGACACCTTGCCGGAAGAATCCAACTCCAAGCGCCCGTCACTGCCTTCACCCTCACCGTCGCTACACTGCAGCAGCAGCAGCAGCGAGACAGACTGACGCAACCCACTACTCACGAGAAACGCGACACGCGGCACAGCACCAGGTGTATACACATGACATACCGCCATGTGCGTGCAGCCAACCAGACCAGCCGAAGTCGCCGAGCTGTCTACAGAGCTGCACGGTTCAACAAGCGTTTCCACGCCATGCCGTGACAGTACACGCAACGCCGCGTGTTGACTGTCAACAAACACAACACCGCCGCCGCCAGGAAGAACCGCTAGAGCACTCGGCACACCCAGCGAGGCCTGCCGCACGTCTTCGGCGTCAATGTACGGCCCCGCGCCGCCATGCAGCCCACCGGCGATGGTCCACACGCGTGGAGCACGACGTGCAGTAGTTTCTCTGCAGCCCTTTTCTTTTTCGCCTTCGTCTCTTCCTTCTTCGTCTCTTCCTTCTTCCACGGCCTCTTCGACTGACTTTTCCACTGAAGGTGAGAAAATGCAGGAACTGGGCGGTGCCACCGCTTCCGCTTCCGATTCCGCCTCCCTCACTCTCTCCTTGTTTGCTTCGGCTGTCTTGGCCTTCTCGAGGCCTGTAATGAGCCGCAGGGCGCCGTTGGGCCCGTCAACGAATAGCAAGCCAGCGGAGCACCATGCCAACGCCGCTGCCTCCTGCAGGCGCGACGCGCGAAAGGCACCGTCGCGATAACCGGGCACACCGTCAAGCCCTGAAACGGTGCGCACGAGTCTGCTGCGGAAGTTCACGTACCGAATCGCGTGGTTCCCGATGTCGCTAACAAATAAAACGTCGCAGCGGGAAGTTGCGGCCCTTTCGTCTTGCTGACCGCTGTCCATGTTAACGCCGGCATCGATGCGCCAACACAGCGCAGATGGCGAAGCGAAGCGGGCTGCATGAAACGGCCCATCAACGAATCCAGCAATTCCACCGAGCAGTGGCCTCGGGTTTGCCGCATGATTGATCCGCTGTCGCTGTGTCTGGGCAATCGCATCCTCGTCCTCCAATTGTTTTCCGCGGTAGCCGTGCGACGAAACCACCCGAGCCTCCAATGACTCCGTGTCTACCTCCATTGCCCAAATAGCATGCAACGNGGCATCGGCGACAAGAAACGAATGCGTCTTGACCGAGGAACCTGGGACGATTTTAATCGGCTGCTCGACTTGCAGGGTATTTTCCTCCGGTTTCGCACTCTCTTCGCCCTCTGACTTGGGCCTGGAGGAGAGACCAAGTGCAGATGTGTTCTTCGAAGAGGAGCGGGAATGGGCGACGGAGTTTGTCACCACAATCGTGTGGACGCTGCTGTCTTCCCCATCCTTCTCTTTCGTGAGCGACATCTGCCCAGCGGGGCGTTGCCCTCCTGCTGCTGTGGTGCGTGCTGCCACCTTGCGTGCGCTCACGCTATGGTCGCGCACACAGCCTGAAATCGCAGCAATGGGCAGACGGCAGCGGGTAGAGGTGGGCGGGCCGTTGTCACGTAGATGCACCACAAACACAGTGGAGGCGCCGTCCCTGGGACTCTTCTCGGAGTCACACGTGACGAGCAGGTGGTTTTCATCAAGAGGAAACGTCATAAGAGCCGAACACGGATGATGATGATGATGATGACGAGGTCTTGAAGATGTTCTATCCATCGCCAGCGGCAAGTCGAAGAGCGTTTTTCTCTCAAACACTGTACGCATATTCTGCAGCCTCATTACGGGCGGGCTTGTGGCGCCACCACCACCAC